AAGGCAACGAGTGACGGGAGCCCCTTGGCTGCAACTCTAAGTGTTCAAAAACATGCGGTGCCCCCTGGTGCGGAGCTCTCTGCCCCGGACAGGCACGGCGGATACAAGCAGAGAGGAGTGAATAAACTCGGGGACACCACGCGACGCGACGTCCAGGATGGGTTGCATCCACCCCGGCTGGGCTGCGTGTCTGTCACCTGCGCGGTCCTGCCCGCCCAAGGGCCATGCAGCCCACCACCGCCTCTCACCCCGCCCTGCCCCGCCCTGCCCCGCCCCGGACATCACCGGCCGCCGCCGCCGCCGCCTTGCCCAACGCCGTGCCTGCAGGAAAATGCCAATTTTCTTAAGCTGGCCATGTTGTGTTGGTCGGGATGGCCCGCTGCAGGCCGCCCGTGCAGGACGCTGTGCTAGCCACCGAGGTCATGGACCGGGCGCGCGGCCACCAGCGGGCGGATGCAGCAGCTGTAGCCTCCGGGCCCCGCCCCGCAGGGAGGGTGAGCGCGACGCACGGGCATATTAAAACGATATTGCGAAATTGAAAGGAAACTAAGTTAACATGTAAAAATATCATAGCAAATGTTTGCAGATACTTGACGGCTGCTTTTTCCATCCGATTTGGAAATAAAAAATTTGCAATAATCTAATATAACTATTTTTCAAAAATTTAACCAAGTGTGCAAGCATTAATGAATTACTTAAATGTAATTCGTCCTAATGAATGAACTCGTTATTTAACTTAAAATTATCGCCCTGGTACCCAAAAAGTTATTCTGTCATCTGCCGTTACGTTATTGTAAAGTTTAGCCAACGCAAGGCTTCATAGCGCCTAATAGGTAGGCAACATCTCGTATGTTGTGCATGTGTGTACTGCGGGGTGGCCTATCCCGAGTATCGCAGGCGCTCAGATCTAGTTATTTTCCTATTGATAAAATTAATTGAAGAAACAAACAAACTTTATAGAAGATCCCTACGAAAAACAAGTACTGTTTTCAGTGCAGTTTTAAATTATTTTCGGTGCCAGCGTCGCCGAACTTATACGGAGCAGGTAAATGAGTATATTCGAGGTGTCTTTATTTCCCACTTGCAGTATCTCTTTCACTAAAAACGTAGAGGGAAATGACCTATTAATCGGGTTATCTGCCAAATATCACATTCTAGTGGCATGGGGGAATCCTCTACATGTGCACCGCACCAGCGACTGTACTCGTTCTCCGCAACAAAAAATAGATGCGGTGTTGGTAAAAAACGAATAAAAATTAATTTTCCACATAATTTTCCCATGACGATGCAGTTGAATCCTCCTACATCACACATTTGCACAGGGCAAACGGGGTCTCCTTATTTCACGTTGATGGAGGAGATACTGGAGCGCAAAACAGATATTGCAGGGAGATATATACCGAGCGTCCGCTGGCTCCAAAGCATCTAGCACAGCTAGGGGGCGGGAGTATGCGCCCCAACCTGCCGGAACCCTTGCGAGAGAGCGTGAGAGAGAGAGAGAGAGAAAGAGAGGCGGGTGAGAGAGCGAAAGAGAGAGAGAGAGAGAGCACAGCTTCTAGAACCCTCCGCCGCCTCCTCGCGCGGACGGTCGGAAGCGGCTCGCCAGGGCCGCCTTGTGTCAGGCTGCGCCGCCTGGCATCCGTGAGCGGCGGGTCTGCCTGCCTGGCCCCCGAGTCGCTCCGGAAGGAGGAGGGGAAGGGGCGCTCCTAGCTGGGCTCAGCAGTGCAGCATGGCGCGGGGTGGATGGGGGTGAAGCGGCTCATGGACCGACAGTTCTCCACTGCGTCCAGCGTTAGGTCATCTCATCTAGCGAGTTTGAGGCATTCGCTCGATTACCAAGAAAATGCGCCTGACAATCAGGCCAGAGGGAAAATGGTGCGACGCTAATGCCATTTACATACAGAAAATTGATTTAGTTCGTGTTTCCGGCCTGTGATGCCAACTTGAGAACTGAGGAGATAAAGGATTAGCGCTCGATATGAAAAGGACACTTCGGAGACCCCACGCGACGGCATTCGGGGGCCGTTCAAATTCCCCTTCATCCTCTCCTCCCCCTTTGCCCACGTTCAAGCCGGTTTTAGGTGGGGCAATGCGTACATCGAACTGTTTGTACACAGGCCCAGGATCCCGTTAGTGGATGTACCGAGAGGCGGGCGGGGGCCCCGCCTCGTGTCGGGGGCAGG